CAGTGACCTCGACAGGCTCGACCGCGTCTACCTGGGACACACCTGAAGGGGCAGGACCCTGAGGGGGGAGGGGGACTACCGGGGGGGGACCTGGTACCAAGAAGAGCGAGGGTGGGGGGAGGGACGGAGTGCGGTAGGGGAAGAGGCGGTAGTAGGGTACCGACTCGTCGAACGTGACGTCCTGGGAGGACAGAACACGTCGAGAGGTGGGGTGGTAAAACTGCCACCCAGGGGCGTCGGGGGGGAACCCCAGGAAGACGCAGGGAGAAGCACGAGGGGACAGCTTGTCCGCAGACAGGTCGCGAACAAACGCCCGAGATCCCCAGACCCGGAACGCCGACGCATCGCCAACCTTCCCCGTCCACAGCAGGGCTGGGGAGGTCTCCGGTCGAGAGACCCTGGGGTGGAGGTTGATCTGGTGCGCAGCGTACCTGACCGCAAACGGCCACAGAAAATGGGGAGCAGCCGCATGCATCATGGACGTACGAGCGACGTCCATGACCATGCCAATGCGGCGCTCAGCAATCCCATTCTGCTGCGGTGAGTCCGGAAGCGTGAAGGTCTGACGGATGCCTCGCGCACGACAGTAGGCACTCAGGAGGCCAGAGGAGAACTCTCTGCCTCTGTCCGAGTGCAGACGCAAAACAGGGAAGTCAGAGCCAAAGCTCCTCCGAAGCTGGAGACGAGCTGCGCGGATCCAGTCGATCAACACCGCAGTGACCTCACCCTTGCTGCACAAGGGGAAGACTGTGGTGTAACGCGAGTAGTCGTCAACCACCAGCAGGAAGTAGCGCTCCTGACCCTGTCCACGGACGCGGGCTGGGCCCCACACATCCATGTGAAGCGTCTGCAACGGGGCCTCTGTCGGAGGAAACTGGGAGGAGTGAGGGGCAGCACGCTGGCGCCCCTCGACACAGGGGACACAGGTGGGGCCAGGGCCCGGAGGAAGGGGAGGGAGAGACCGGGGAAGACCAGACACAAGGACTCGCGAGGCCATGCCTCTGAGCCGAAGCAGAGAGGGGTGGCCAAGGCGGTGGTGCCAGAGGAGGGTCTCGTGAGACAGACGACGGCACGAGCAGGGGGCAGACTCAGGACCAGACCTGGACGCTGCAGCAAACACCTGACCAGACGAAGTGACCCTACCAGACTCAGCACCTGGAGGAGAAGCAGTGGTCAGAGTGTACAGGCTCGACCCTGGCCGACGTGTAAACGTAGCCAGGTGGCGACCTGTATCCGCCTCCGTGCAGTGGGTCACCCGCTGACGAGCAGGGGTGAACTGGTGGACACCCCCATCCTGGAGGTCAGCACCACTCACCAAGTTCGTCGAGAACGAGGGGAGGTAAAGACCAGTCAGGGTGCCAGAGGGGGCCGTCGGACACGGGAGGACAGTGGAGAAGCGAGCCAGGACAGGCCCCCAAGAGGGGTCAGCCAGGGACACCGCAACCGGCCGACTCAGCGGCGTGAGAGTGGTGCGGTCCCGAAAGAAGGAGCGAGACGCTCCAGAGTCAAGGGTGAAGGTGTGAGAGGCCGAAGCCGACACAGTACCTGAGAGGGCAGACTCACCAGCACCTGAGAGCACAGACGCACTGGCACCTAGAGCAGCAGCCTCACTAGTACCTGACGCGGCAGTACCAATGCCCGGGTCGGGCGGGAAACACCGGTAACAGTCATCCTCATCACTACCAATCGCAGCATACATAGCGGAGAGAATAGCATCAAAATCAAGATCATAAATAGCTACACCAGCCCTAGACAGCTCTCCCCAGCGGGGGATCTCAGCTGCCTCCGGAAACTGCTGACGCCAGGCGTCAGTCAGGCGGCCAAAGCAGCGGCGGGCAGTGTGGGCGCCTCCACACCTCTCCCCTGCACGGTCACCGGTGCGGAGAACGTAGGGGCAAGGACCAAGTGCACCACCACGCTGACGCTGCGAGTACCACTCACGGAGCTGCTGAGGGGCGGGGACGGTGCGGGAGCGCTGCTGCTGCTGTGGCTGCTGCTGCGGCTGCTGCTGCTGCTGCTGCTGGCGCTGACCACCCCCGGAGCTGCTCCGCTGGGACGAGCCACTCCGACCCCCGCCTCCACTGCCACCCCCGCCTCCACCGCCACCCCCGTCTCCACCTCCACCTCCCCCACCAGGACCGTCGCTCCCACCGCTCCCACCGCCGCCTCCGCTACCACCTCCGCCGCCACCTCCGCCTCCACCGCCGCCACCAGGACCTCCACTCCCGCCACCACCCCCACCGCCACCCCCACTCCCCCCGCCACCCCCACCGCCTCCTCCACCGCCCCCTCTAGCTCCACCCGCTCCCTTGCCCCCCTTGCCCTTGCCAGTGCGGCGTCTGCCGCTGGGGGCAGACGCCGCGCCGACCGACTCAAAACCAGTGAGGTCGGCCGCAGCGGCAGAGGCGACAGAGGGCAGCAGGGGGGAAGGACCACACCCCTCAAAGATGGGGGTGCGAGGGTCACCCCGAGAGGCCCCTACAGCGACAATACTCTTCTCAGCCGCTAGCAGGGACTCCTCAAGGAGGTCGACAGTGAGAGTGGTGGGACAGACAGAGAGAAACTGGTCCCTAACGACACGAAGGGACTCAGGGAGACGGGTGACGAGAAAGTAGAGAGTGATGTACATGGGAGGAGGGTTCGCAGCGCGGAACTCAGCAGGAAGGGCAGCGCGGTAGCGGGTGTCACTAGCACGGAGGTGGGTAACGAGGTCAGCGACAGTGGGAAAGGAAGCGAGGTCAGGGAAGAGAAACGGTAGCATGAGGCGGCTAAGGGTAGCAGAGGAAGGGGAGGAGTAGCGTGCAACTACAGCGTCGTACAAGGCCTGAGCGGTCTTGCACTGACTAAAGTGGGCACGCTCAGAGGAAGGGAGGTGGCGACGCACAGCAAGACGTGCAGCAGCATCGCGGGTCGCCCACTTGGAGCGAACGGCAGAGTCAGCATCAGCAGGAGGGGCAGGGACAGCGCCAGAGACAAAGTCAAAGAGAGAGACCTCATCTATCGCATCACACAGTAAGTACAGCTGCAGGTCTTCAATCCAGACGGCAAAGTCAATGGCCCTCCCCTCAGCGTCAAAGGTAAGAACATTGGGGGTGGCCATGACAGCAGCTGAGAATCTCACCGGGCTGAGAGAGGCGGGTAGGTCAGCAGCAGAGGAACAGCAGCACGGCTCCGCAGGCGGCTCGGGCGGCGGCTCGGCGGCAGCTCGGCGGCGGCTCGGCGGCGGCTCAGGCGGCGGCGGCTCAGGCGGCGGCACGGCTGCTGCGGGCGGCAGCGGGCTGCTCGGCGTCACGGGCGGCGCGGGCGGCTCGGGCGGCACGGGCGGCTCGGCGGCGGCTCGGGCGGCGGCTCGGCGGCGGCTCGGCGGCGGCTCGGCGGCTGCTCGGCGGCGGCTCGGCGGCGGCTCAGGCGGCGGCGGCTGCTGCTGGGCGGATCGGCGGGGCCGCGTAGCAGAGTGGCGGCGGGGCCGCGACCGAGGAGAGCGGCGGGGCCGCGTAGCAGAGGGCGGCGGGGCCGCGTAGCAGAGGGCGGCGGGGCCGCGTAGCAGAGGGCGGCGGGGCCGCGTAGCAGAGGGCGGCGGGGCCGCGTAGCAGAGGGCGGCGTGGCCGCGATCGAAGGGCGGCGGAGCCGCGTAGCAGAGGGCGGCGGGGCCGTGTAGTAGAGGGCGGCGGGGCCGCGTAGCAGAGGGCGGCGGGGCCGCGTAGCAGAGGGCGGCGGGGCCGCGTAGTAGAGGGCGGCGGGGCCGCAATCGAAGGGCGGCGGGGCCGCGTATCAGAGGGCGGCGGGGCCGCGTAGCCGAGGGCGGCGGGGCCGCGTAGCCGAGGGCGGCGGGGCCGCGATCGAAGGGCGGCGGCGGGGCCGCGTAGTAGAGGGCGGCGGGGCCGCGATCGAAGGGCGGCGGGGCCGCTAGGGAAGGGCGGCGGAGCCGCTAGGGGAAGGGCGGCGCAACGGGCCGCTAGGGGTGACACGATGGGTCGCTAAAAAAAAAAACGCGCCTCGGGGCGCGGTTCGGTGGGCCCTAGAAGCAGTCCCTAGGAGGGAACGTGCTCTGATTCCATGTTAAACCAAAGAAGGAGAATGACTATGAACGAAGTGAGTACAAATAGGAAACCCTAATTGGGTTGTACCCCCTATGGGATACCCCACTATAGCCTACAGAAACAAGTAAGCTATAAGTTCTGACAGTCTCCTGCCAAAATTTCGACGTGAATTTCGGATCTCGATCGCTGATGATCGCCGAAGGTAATCCGTGTAGGCGTACGACGGTCGAGATGAAGAGTCGCGCTGTTTCTTCGGCTGTGATCGTTGTACGGCAGGGCGCGAAATGCGCCATTTTCGTTAAGCGATCAACGGCGACGAGCACAGAGTCGTTGCCACTTGCACCAGCTGGAAGGCCCGTGACGAAATCCATAGTCATCTGTTGCCACGGTCGTTCGGGTGGCTCGAGGGGCTGCAGTAATCCAGCTGGTCGTTGTCGTGATGACTTCATTGCCTGGCAGGTCGGGCAGGCGGACACATAGCGCTGCACGCCCGACGCCATGTCGGGCCAGTAGTAATTCCGCTGCAGCAGCTTCAATGTTTTGTCGACGCCGAAATGCCCGGAGAGGTTGGAGTCGTGTACTTCCTGCGTCAGCAATTCGCGTAAGGGCCGGTAGGTGTGGAAAATAGAACGAGAATGAATGAACTATGAGTGAAGTGAGTACAAATAGCAAAACCCTAATTGGGTTGTACCCCCTATGGTATACCCCACTGTAGCCTACACAACAGCATAAGCTACATATATGTTCTGACACACCCCCATAGGCAAAGTGGGGGAGAACAAGGGGTCACAAGACCAGTCAAGCAAAGCAAAGCAAAGCTCAGGGTGGATCACAAAGTCACCACACAGTCCGAGCACAAGAGCAAGGCCACAAGGCCAGTTCACATGCAGGAGTACACACATATATATATAAAGCTAGACAAGCAAGAGCAGGTATATATATGTGACAGTACAAGTAAAGTCAAGAGGAGAGCAAGTGAGGCAAGACAGGCACAAGACCCAGCTGGGTGCAGAAGCGCTGATGGTCACAAGGCGCGAGTGCCTTGGTGAACACATCAGCAGTGTTGGCCTCAGAGGCCACGTACGCAAGCCGCAACTGTCCACGCTGCTGTAGCTCACGAGCAAGGAAGTAGCGAAGAGCAATGTGCTTCGTTCTGTGCTCCAGACGCTGCTCTCGACACAAGGCCAGCATGGCCTTGTTGTCTACGTACAGCACTGGAGGAGAACGAGGCTGCTCTCCAAGGTCAGTCAGCAGGTAGGTGAGCCAGTGAAGCTCCCGTGCAGCCATGGCCCCTGCGTAGATCTCAGCCTCACAACTCGAGCTGAGAACCGAAGACGAGCGAGTAGCCCGCCACGAGACAGAGCCGGAGCCAAGGCTGAAGGTGTAACCCTGTGACGACCGCTGCGTAGCCTGGTCGTCAGCCCAAGAAGCGTCCGCGTGACCTGTAAGTACCACTGGACTCCGCCCTCCAAGCACTAGCCCCATGCCCGACGTACTGCACAGGTAGCGCAATACCCTCTTCGCTGCAGCCATGTGCTCTGGTCGGTGTCTCCCAGGAGCAACATAGCGTGCAAGAATGCTAAGAGGGTATGCAAGGTCAGGTCGTGTGCAGGTCATCAGGTACATGAGGCAGCCAACAAGCTCTGGGTACGGGCCACTCGACTCTACGGACTCATCCGAAGGCAGAGCTGAGAGCGAGTGACGAGTATACAGAGGAGTGGCCTGAGGCGAGGAGTACGTGAAGCCGAAGCGCTGAAGGACCTGCTGCACCATGTGTGACTGAGTCAAGGTAATGGTGCGGCGTGCTCTGTCCCGAGTGATCTGCAAGCCAAGGTAGCTGCGCAGTTCACCCAGGTCTGTGCACGTGTGTCTCTTTAGCAGCTCGGACTTCACGTAGGCGAGTCCAGCAGTGTCCGCTGTGGCAAAGACCAAGTCGTCGACGTACACGAGGATGTAGAACGGCGGTAGTGAAGTGTCGGTGCCAGAAACAGCGACGGGTCAGCAGTAGAAGGAGCAAACCCAAGGGCCGCAAGCGTAGTCCTCAGTGTGTCGTGCCACTCACGTGGTGCCTGGCGGAGACCGTAGACTGGCCGTCGGAGGCTCCACTGGGTGCCAGGAGGGAAAGTCCCAGTGAAGCCAGGTGGACGGCGCAGCCAGATCTCCTCGTGCAGGCTCCCCTGCAAGAACGCAGTACTGAAGTCGAGAGAGTGAAGCTCGTAGTCGCGCTGAGCGGCTATGTGCAGCAGCACCCGAAGAGTGGTCATCTTCGGGGTGGGAGAGAAGGTCTGAAAGTAGTCAACTCCCTGCCGCTGACTGAAGCCACGAGCGACGTACCGCGCCTTGAAGACAGGTGGAGAGCCCGGCGGCCGCTTCACCCTGAAGATCCACATGCCACTGACGATGTTCGCCCCAGGAGGGGGAACCGCGTCAACGTAGGTGCCTGTGGACTTCCAGGAAGCCATCTCTGCATCCATAGCTGCCTGCCACTGAGAGGAGTAGGGACCCTCTACGGCCTCCGCGTAAGAGCGCGGAGTCGGGATGTCTAGTGCATCCGGGTCTCCCTCAGAAGCAAGCAGTACAGACACGAGATGAGGTGAAGCAGCAGCCAGACACTGGAACTCCTCCTGCCTGTCCTCAAGGACGTCCGTGCCAAGAGCACACTCACCCCCGACGGACGGAGGACAGACAGACGCAGACTCAGCAACAAGACTAGCAGCGTAGTCTAGACGGCAGCGAGCAGCAAAGTCGACGAGCTCAGCAACAAGAGCAGACGCAGCAGCGGACTCAAAAGAGGGGTCAGTGACGACAGTAGCAAGCAGACGCGTGACAGTAGGACTGGCAGCACGAAGGGAGTCCGACTCTGGGTCGGTAAGCACAGGAAGGGAGGACTCAGGAGGAGAAGGCAAAAGGGCACGCAGAGGAGCAGTGGACGGACGCAGAGACATCCGGTGCGTGCCAGGGACAGGAGGAGGACGCGGACGCGAACCACGACCACTAGCGCGGGCAGCACGAACAGGCGACGCGGGACGGGACGCAGGCTCACGACGCTCAGCAAGACCTCCAGTAGGACCAGTGTAAGGAGAGGGAGCAGGCAGTGGGGAGGTAGGCTCCAACAGTGACTGCGACTGGACAGGTTGTGGACACTCTACCGGAGGAGAAAGACCAAGAACCTGCTGCAGAAGCGGAACGAAGTACGACCGAGGCCGCGCGGCAGCTCCAGACTCAGCAGGGACAGCACCAGCACCCTCAGCGGCAGCACCAGCGCCCCCAACACCTCCAGCGGCAGGACCTCCAGCAGCACCAGCAGCAGAACCACCGGCAGGACAGACAGCAGCAGACTCAGCACCAACGCCCTCAGCAGCCCCAGCTCCAGTAGGACCCGCAAGGCGTAGCACCTCCGAGACCGGCGGCACCAGTACCCTCGACGGTCGAAGAAGCTCCAGCTCCAGCAGTACGCCTCCAGCGGCGAGCAAACCACTCGCGCAGCTCCTGCGGAGAGAGGGGCTCCCGACGAGGCGCAGCACCAGGAGAAACCCCAGGCTCAGCGGCTCCAGACGTAGCACCCCCAGGCTCAGCAGCTCCAGACTCAGCACTCCCAGGCTCAGCAGCTCCAGACTCAGCACCCCCAGGCTCAGCAGCTCCAGCTCCAGTAGGACCCGCAGGCCCAGCAGCTCCGGGACCGGCAGCACCAGCACCCTCAGCAGTTGAAGGAGCTCCAGCTCCAGCAGCACGCCTCCAGCGGCGAGCAAACCACTCGCGCAGCTCTTGTGGAGAGAGCGGCTCCCGCCGAGACGGAGCAACCGGAGAGCCCCCAGGTCCAGCAGTCGCAGGCTCCGCACCTCCAGGCTCAGCACCCCCAGGCTCAGCAGCTCCTGACGTAGCACCTCCCGGCTCAGCACCCCCTGCAGCAGCACCCCCAAGCTCAGCACCCCCCGGCCTCGCACCCCCAGGCTCAGCACCCCCAGCAGCAGCACCCCCAAGCTCAGCACCCGCAGGCGTAGCACCCCCAGACTCTGCACCCGCAGCAGGACCAGACTCAGCAGCAACCTCGACTGGCTCGACTGTGTCTACCTGGGACACACCTGAAGGGGCAGGAACCTGAGGGGGGAGGGGGTCTACCGGGGGGGGAACTGGCACCAGGAAGTCCGGTGGGGGGGGGAGGGAAGGAGTACGGTAGGGGAAGAGGCGGTAGAAGGGGACTGACTCGTCGAACGTGACGTCCTAGGAGGACAGAACACGACGAGAGGAGGGGTGGTAGAACTGCCACCCTGGAGCGTCAGGGGGGAAGCCAAGGAAGACACAGGGAGCAGCACGGGGGGACAAGCTTGTCCGCAGACAAGTCGCGGACAAACGCCCGAGATCCCCAGACACGGAACGCAGACGCATCGCCGACCTTCCCCGTCCACAGTAACACTGGGGACATCGCGGGCCGAGAGACCCTGGGGTGAAGGTTGAGCTGATGCAGCCGCGTACCGAACCGCAAACGGCCACAGAAAATGGGGGGCAGCCGCATGCATCATGGACGTACGAGCGACATCCATGACCATGCCAATGCGGCGCTCAGCAATCCCATTTTGCTGTGGAGAGTCCGGAAGCGTAAAGGTCTGGCGGATCCCCTATGCACGACAGTAGTCTCGCAGAAGGCGAGAGGAGAACTCCCCACCTCGGTCAGAGTGCAGACGCAGAACAGGAAAGTCCGAGCCGAAGCTCCTCCTGAGCTGGAGACGAGCCTCGCGGATCCAGTCGATCAGCACCTCAGTGACAGCACCCTTGCTGCGCAAGGGGAAGACTGTGGTGTAACGCGAGTAGTCGTCAACCACCAACAGGAAGTAGCGCTCGTGACCCTGCCCACGGACGGGGGCCGGGCCCCACACGTCCATGTGAAGTGTCTGCAGAGGAGCCTCTATCGGGGGAAACTGGGAGGAGTGAGGAGCAGCCCTGAGGCGCCCCTCGACACAGGGGACACAGGAAGGTCCTGGTCCCGAAGGAAGGGGAGGGAGAGACTGGGGAAGACCAGAGACAAGGACACGGGAAGCCATGCCCCGAAGACGGGGCAAGGAGGGGTGGCCGAGACGGTGGTGCCACAGGAGAGTCTCGTGAGACAGGAGGCGACACGAACAGGGGGCAGACTCAGGACCAGACCTGGACGCAGCAGCAAACACCTGACCTGACGCAGCTACCTGACCGGACGCAGGGACAGGAGGAGACTCAGTGGTCAGGGTGTAGAGGCTCGACCCCGGCCGACGCGAGAACGTGGCCAGGTGCCGGCCTGTGCGTGCGTCCGTGCAGTGGGTCACCCGCTGACTCGCAGGAGTGAGCTGGTGAACCCCCGCATCCTGCAGGTCTGCACCACTCACCAAGTTCGTCGAGAACAAGGGGAGGTACAGGCCAGACAGGGTGCCCGAGGGGGCAGCCGGACACGGGAGGAGAGTGGAAAAGTGAGCTAGGACAGGACCCCCAGAGGGGTCAGCCAGGGAGACTGCAACAGGCCGACCAAGCGGCGTGAGTGTGGTGCGGTCCCGAAAGAAGGAGCGAGAAGCCCCAGAGTCAAGTGTAAAGGTGAGGGAGGCCGAAGCCAACGTGGTACCTGAGAGCGCAGCCTCACCCGCACTTGAGGAAGCAGACTCACTAGCACCTAGAGCAGCAGCCGCACCTGTACCTGGAGCAGGAGACTCACTAGCACCCAGAGCAGCAGCAGCCTCACCAGTAGCTAGAGCAGCAGGTCCTATACCCGGGTCAGGCGGTACGCACAGGTGACCGGCACGGTCAGCACTAGTAGGCAATGCATACATGGCAGTGAGAATAGCATCATAGTCAAGAGCAAATATATCTACCCTCTGCCTAAGCAACTCCACCCAGTCGGGGAGCTCAGCCTCGTCGCCAAACACGGTACGCCAGGCGTCGCTCAGACGGGCGAAGCAGCGGGACTGTGTATGACCAGGTGTCCCACAAGGCTGACCAGTCCGAGCACCAGTGAGAATCACGTAAGAGCAGCGAACAGAACTGAGAGACCCTCTACTCTGAGCGTACCACTCACGAAGCTGCTGAGGCGTGAGAGACGCGCGGGGGGGTCGCGGGAGCTGCATCTGGCCGCCACCAGTAGTAAGAAGCAGCAGGAGTGGTAGCAGTAGTAGCGCCACCACCCCTACAGCCCCAACCAGCGTACCACTCACGCAGCTGCTGGGGCGTGAGGGACTCACGCAGACGTCGATGGGGCTGCATCCGGCTCCACCAGTAGAGGCAGGAGCAGGAGTAGCAGCAGTAAGGCAGGCAGCCAGGCAAGCCAAAAAGGGAGGCAGGCAGGCAAGCAGGCGACGCGCATCGTGCTAGCAGGGCAGGGGCTCACCAGTGGTGGGTAGAGTAGGCTCGGCGACTCAGCGGCTCGGCAGCACGGCGGCTCTGCGGCTCGGGCGACTCGGGCGGCTCGGCGGCAGAGCGGCTCGGCAGCAACTGCAGCTCGGCAGCTCGGCGACCCGGCGGCGCGGCTGTAGGGCGGCTCGGCTGCTGGGAGGCTCGGGTGTAGAGCGGCTCGGCTGCAGGGCGGCTCGGCTGCTGGGAGGCTCGGGTGTAGAGCGGCTCGGCGGCGAGGCGGCTCGGCTGCAGGGCGGCTCGAGACGAAGGAGGAGGAGAAGCAGGGGAGACCACACACCTGCCACCCCTCAGTTGGCCTCTCAGGACCGCAAGCGGCCCCCTCAGGTCGCCTCGACAGGCGACGGGAAAAGGGGGGGGGGGGGGGGAGGCGGCTCGGGCGGCTCGGGCGGCTCAGGCGGCTCGGGCAGCTCGGGCAGTCAGCGGCACAGGCGGCTCGGGCGGCTCGGCTCCTCAGCTGCGCAGACGGCTCGGGCAGCTCAGGCTGCACGGCGGCTAACGGGCGGCGTGGGGGGCCGGGACGGCGGCGTGCAGCAGGGACGGGCGGCGCACGGGCGGTGTGAGGCCGGGACGGGTGAGGGGCCAGGACGGGCGGCGTCCTGGCGCCGAGGGGCCGAGACAGGAGAGCGCGGCCGGGGCGGGCGGCACAGGGCGGCTTGGGGCCGAAACGGGCGGCGCGCGAGCGGCTAGGGGCCGGGACGGGCGGCGCGCGGGCGGCTAGGGGCCTGAACGGGCGGCGCGCGAGCGGCTAGGGGCCGGGACGGGCGGCGCGCGGGCGGCTAAGGGCCGGGACGGGCGGCGCGTGGGCGGCTAGGGGCCTGAACGGGCGGCGCGCGAGCGGCTAGGGGCCGGGACGGGCGGCGCGCGGGCGGCTAGGGGCCTGAACGGGCGGCGCGCGAGCGGCTAGGGGCCGGGACGGGCGGCGCGCGGGCGGCTAGGGGCCTGAACGGGCGGCGCGCGAGCGGCTAGGGGCCGGAACGGGCGCGCGCGGGCGGCTAGGGGGCCGCAGGGCAGGCCGAAAGAGTGAGAGCGAGGGCCCGGAGCGCGCTCCGGGCAGAAAAAAAAGTTTAAAAGTGGTGGGTCCTAAGCACAG